ACGTTTGCGGGTAATTGCAAATGTTCCTACCCCTACCTGCCTCCAAACTTCTAGAAGGTATATTGATGTATATGTTCACCTGTAACGGCGTTTGGCCAATTATTGCTTCGGTAATAGCAGCATTCGTCAAGCAGTAACGGCTTCATTACTTTTGTTTAATCTTTAGGTTATGCCCTGCTTACCCGAGTCTTGACAACCCATTTATTACATTTACATGAAAGAACAGTTAAAGGAGACGACCCTGTGGCATAGAAACGGAAGCAGTGCAGCGTAAGAATTATTATCGGGTCTCATCTTAAATGGAAGTCACAAATTGGAAAAGGGTGGATTAAAGGGGTCATGAAGTGAATTTTTCTGAGGAACATATATTGTGCAACTTTCTACTCCTCTTAAAGATATAGTCCATCATTTGTAATTTGTGCATTTTGTTCGTTTGAAGCAACGAAAGTGTTCAAAATCTAATGAAGGATACTGAACAACTAACCTGATGAAGTTTCAGCTCAGCTTCAGCTGTATATTCCGAGAAAAACAGCATTCTAGGATCTCAATTTCAAATCAAAAGTTACTGAATCATGTTTTGAATTGTTTTGAATTGCAGCTATACGCGACGTCGCGCACTGATCTGACGAATTATAGCAACCGTGTGCGTCGTGCCTATGCTTGCACGTGTTTCGCCGAATAACAAAACGAACTACTAATTTAAATTTTCCTACCGTGCGTCTTAAGACGCACCGTTGGAAAGGCCTTTTTTCGTTGATTACTTCAAATTGACAGCTTCCCAGAAAGAATAATTTCACAGGGAGTTTAGTTCCCTTACTATCTTTCAACCAAGTATGTTTTTCAACAATAATTACGCCAGTTACTTTTCGGATGGCTGCAAATGATGGACTATAGTATTAAACTGTTTGACATCCCTTTTGGCTAATTTTATTGAAAAGTGTATTTCTGTAAACATTTGACTATTTTCTATGCTTTTCCGGACAACTGAGGGCGCTGTTGCTGTGATGTCATTTCAGGAAGACACTGTTCGGTTTTAGGGGTTTTATGTTCAAAATTGTGAACCCAAAAATCTGCTTACTGAAAACATTTGTGAGAAATGTTCGCTCATTGGCTTAATGTCTTGTACTGAAACAACTACGAATCACCAAAGAAAAGAAAATTTACGACTGCAAAATGTCAAAAATTCTGGTAACTTTTGATTTTGAAATAGCTATAACATTGAAATTTTGGGATGACGTTTTCACCATCGTTTGAGAGAGGCGTTGCAAATTGCTGTAAGTGCGCAGGCGTAAGTTGCGTCGCGAATCGACCACTAGTCGACTAATGGTCCTTACCTAAACTTGGTCTCGGAAGCCCAAATTCATTTTGAGCAAATTCTTACAATATAGAAACCAAGAGGATTTCATCGGGGTTGCACTTGCATAATCTCCACGGTGTACGTGCACATGTACGTGGCGGTTTCGTGCTTGGGGTCCGCTCATTAGTCCGACGCCTCATAAGTCCGACGCCTCATAAGTCCGACGCCTCATTAGTCCAACAACGGAAAAACAAGGCGTTTAATTTGTCGGACTTATGAGGCATCGGACTTATGAGGCGTCGGACCTATGAGGCAGAATAAACACATTTTATGCCTCATAAGTCCGACGCCTCATAAGTCCGACATTTCGGACTTATGAGGCGTCGGACCTATGAGGCGTCGGACTTATGATACGGCCCCTCGTGCTTAACAACTTTAAGAACGCAACGGAACACAGTATCCATACATTTGAACAACAACCTCTTTTGCAACCACTTGTGAGTGCACACAGGTAAATAGTCCTAAACCCATTCGCCGAGCTCATGAATAAAAGTTATACCCTCAAAATATTCCATATTAGACATGTTAGAGAGGTCTATATTGACCAATTGAAGAGATACAAACGAATGGCAATGAACCTCTGGCCAGGGCTTGGGGCTTCTAATTCTGAGCATTTTGGATGCAGTTGGGCTCCAAAGGGGCGTTATTTTGCCATGTTGTGGAGGGATCTTTTTTCAAGATGGCTACTTTTCCGGTTTAGAGAAAAAAGGGGTTGTCTTCTTTGGGTGATAATATCTCGAAAAGTCCATGGTCAACCTGCCAAAGAATGAAAAGAAAATGAAAGATGACATGTTGATCATCATTTTTCTGTACAGCGTAAATACCTGTGAGTGTTCTGAGTATTTTTAAAAGAATTTTGAAGTATGGGCATTTAGCACTGGTGTCTATGGGAATTTTAATACTGGATTGCACCCTTGTATGCCCAATATTGCACTCTTGGCGGTAAGCCTGGTGCCTTGCAAACCTCAAAATCCAAGGGTATTTGAACAGGAGTCTAGACCTAGGTCAATATAAGTACAGTTGTATGTGTACCTAGTTCTCCTCAGAGCCAGACAATCTTCTTGTGTTTGTCATCCGCAAACAGCGTTCCCGGAAAACAACGTTCCCGCTTCGCTGCGCATAAACGATCTCGGCCGATCCAATTTAGACTGGAGACAGGACTAGAGGCTATTAACGTGCTCCGGCAATCCATCCATCATCGTAATAGCAAGGTCACACACTCTCGAGCGGTCTTTTTTTACGACCGAACAACCAAATTAAAAAAACTTCCCCCTCGAGAATTTTGTTTTGAAAATGAGAACTTGGGACAATCTGCCAAAAAATTAGGATAGTTTGTTGCATCTTTTTACGATGATGCACATTTTTTTTGTCTAATCGATTTTTTTCATCCATTTTTAAGTGATTGAACAAATATTTCGAGTAAAATGAAATTGATTTTCTGTGAAGATGAGTGCCTGTTTACTACACATACCAGTAGTTTAACACGTACCGTAATGTAACGAATTATTATATTATTTAACAAATTTCACCCGCTACAGCCTTTCAAAAAAGCACTTGCCTTTTGAAAAAATTCACTCAAAACAAAATATTAATAAAACCGTGGGTGTAGAATTTCACGGCGTGGAAATTTCCTTTGACCAAAATTGGAAGTCTCCGGCGATTTAACAATACCATTTCCGTCTCAGCTTCAACGCTTGGGGGAATCCCGTTTTGAAATTAGATTTTTGCAGAAAATTAGCTAGAAGTGCCTCCAGGAACTGAACCGCAGCGTTGGCGACGAATTGTGGAATTCCCGTACATTGCCAAATTTATTATTGAGTTGTCTGCTGAACGAACGCAAAGTTGTTTTGACCACAAAATACTAAAGCCAAAAAATGTTATAGTACACAATTCTGACCAAGGCACTTTGGTACTCAAACATTGGAAATCCCTCAAATTCCTTTGGGATGGTTTGTTATAATTAAACGAATACATCAACGTCCTATCTGCGTATTTTTGATTTTTTTTTTTTCAGGCAAAAAAACCCAGATAGACATGTCAATTTAGGATTTAAGTCTGACCTTTTCTAGTTATCTGTTCAAACAAAGTAGTTTTTAGTAATTTATACTTGCAAAGCTCCCTATAGATTCGGTGGGCCAACTTGTGTTTGTAAATTGAACGCATACATTGACATTTTACCTGGGAATTTGTCAGTTTTCCTGAAGTCTTTTTGCCCCCATAGTTATGAAACCAATTTTGCGTGCTTTTTGTAACCGAAACCGTATCCCCAGGGCTGAAGCCTTAAATACCAATACATGCACGCTAGTACGAGACTTGCATGTCATTCGCGGCTTGAATTTCGGGGCTCGTTCGGCTAGAGACGTTTTTTTGGAGAAATTTGAAATTTGTGACATTTGCTCTGGGGAAAAAACTGACAAGTGCAAGGGCTGTCCCGAGTATGCGAATATTGGATCATAAATTTGTCGGTTGGAATATTCATTAAAAAAACACTAGGTACGGGTACACACACGATTGTAAAGTTGAGGCACTTAGGCAGATGCCACTGTTTTGGGGCGACGGTAATTATTTTGTCGACGGCGGTTCATTGTTCCCGTCATTTTAGTGGGTTAAAATCTGACAGTACTAAAATAGTTACTACAAAATACTCCAGGGGCCCATAATATCGATCACTGCACGCAAACTTTAACTTTTGCTTTTGACCGGCGCGGCATGTAGTGGCAGCTGGCACGTGTTAAACTTGATCGGCGAGCTTTGAATTTTCGAATATTTGGTCAAACGCTGTTTGAATAATCGAATATTAAATTCTTCCAAAGTAAACAGCCCTTATATGTGATTCAAAATTCAATTGTTCAAACAGTTCAGTTGATAGATTTTTTTTTTAAATGCGTACTGTGGGAAAAGCGTAGTGCATGTCTAGGAAAAGTCAAATTAAAGGAATTAAGTATCCCTGCTTAAAGGAATATATTCCGGCTTTATTTTATTTCTAGTTTGAAGCTCATGTGTGATTGTTCCTTAACCAAAGGGCTGTTTGGGGGTCAAGTACCAAATACCACAGAATACTACATGTGTTGTGCATACTTGTATGGAAAGAAATTAATACTACAGGTTACTACTCAGTGGTATTTTGTAGCATTGGGGGCGGTTAGGGTTAAATGAGCAGAGTTTTGCAGATTTGCAGGTGCAGCAAATATTTCCACAGTAAAAGATGTAATTCCATACAGTGTGCAAAGATCTCTTCTGCATTGCATGTGTGATAACTTTTATACTGACAAAATGTTTTAGCATACCTCTCAAGTTTTAATCTGAGTTTGTTCTGGTGCAACATTTCAAGTAGCCTGTCCTTTTTGCCTCCTGCATGCTGCAAACTAACATTTTCTTTCTGCCATTTTAAAAAAAATCTTAAAAGCAAAGAACCTGTTCTCGTTTTGTGTCTTTTATTTCCGTGGTTTCCTCTACTCGGGTTAAACATTTCATTTTTTTGAGCAAGTGTTCTCATTAACAACGTATTCTGCCCAAATCATACTTGTAACATGTAACAACAATTTCAGTAATCATTGCTCTCATTTTTTTTTCCCCTCGTTTTTCTCCACTTCAACTTTTTCCTCCATTCCCTCTCTCTTCCCCGAAATGATTTTTCTCGCAGCTTGCTTAAATACGGTTTGAAAACACGCCCTCGGACGGCTAGCGAAGGGGAGTCGCATTTTCGCAGCGGGCGTACACCGGAAAGGTAACGGCCACAAAAATCCTAACCCTGCTTCTGTTGGTGCTGATGGAGAGATATTGCAGCTAACCTCATCTTAGTGCATGTGATTTAGTTTCATCTTCTGATCTTGGTGTCTGCTAAGATGTATGAATGGGTTTGATGTGGGCTGTCATGTGACTAATACATCACGTCACTTGTGCAACATGTTGTGGAATTTTTTTTTTTTTTTTCTCAGGTACTTTCGATAGCAAGGAAAAAGCAGCTAACATCATCCTAGTGCATGTGATTTAGTTTCATCTTGGTGTCTGCTAGAATGTATAAACCAGTTTGATGTTGGCTGTCATGTGACTTGCAATATGCAAGAGGAATTGTTTTGTTTGGGAGGGGTGGTTATTTTTTTAGCTGTTTGGTTGGCATGATTCCTTAAAGGGAATGATACAACATTTGCAAACATCCAAAACATCCAAAACTAACAAATTATTATGAAATACCTTACTGTAAGCCAATGACAGTCTTAAGCATCCTGTAATATGGCACCTGGTGTGCTGACATTTTCAAGAAAAGTGCTATTTTTGTATCAATTTCTAACGCTGGTCGGCCGACCAGCATTGGAGAAAAAAAAAACTGGCTTTTTTCAAATACTTAAGTGAGGTCAGGGAACCATACTAAAAAACATGATAGTTTTTCCTGTTTTTTCAGCATCTTACGAACACAAAACGTCAAACAAGTCAGTGTGACAATATTTTGCTATAAAATATTAACCCCCCCAATCCATCCATTTCTGAAAATTGCAGCAAAAGCAAATGTTGTATATTCCCTTTAAGCAGATGTGACTGTCTGTGATTGTCATTAATTGTCTTTGTTTGTCAGTGACTAACTTTGCCGATTAATTCCTCTGTTTTTCTGTGACAGTTTGTGATTGTTCTTACAATTTATGTTGGCTGTGACTGTTGGTGACTATTTTTTTTCACTGATTGGCCGTACCGGTGTTTGTGTCTGTGGATTTGAGCTGTTTGTAAAATTTTGTCAGTGACCATATTTTTCCCCAAAATGGGCATAACTGTCCTGTGTTGGCCAGTGACTTGCTACAGATAATGTCATTGACTGTCTGTGATTGTCAGTGACTGTCTGTGATTGTCATTGACTGTCTATGATTGTCAGTGACTGTCTTTGATTGTCAGTGACTGTCAGTAATTGTCAGTGACTGCCTGTGATTGTCAGTGACTGGCAGTGATTGTCAGTGACGGTCTGTGATTGTCATTGACTGTCTATGATTGTCAGTGACAGTGACTGGCTGTGATAGACAGTGACTGGCTGTGATTGTCAGTGACCTTCTGTGATAGTGACTGGCTGTGATTGATAGTGACTGTCTGTGATTGTCAGTGACTGTCTGTGATTGTCATTGACTGTCTGTGATTGTCATTGACTGCCTGTGATTGTCAGTGACTGTCTGTTTGTCAGTTACTGTCTGTGATTGTCAGTGACTGTCAGTGATTGTCAGTGACTGTCTGTGATTGTCAGTGACTGTCTTGTTGGTCATTGACATTTAATCAGTAACTCCATTCGTGTGTGATAAAGAATACCCTCAAAATCCTGTGAGCGGTGTGTGTGGTTTTGAACCACAGACCTGCTAACTGACGGTGCAGATGTCCCAGCTACTCAACCACCAAGGTCACTGCAAATCAGCTAACCAACCAATATCACAGATTGAGACTCAATCTGTGAAATTGGTTAGATACTTACATTTCGACTTATCGTTTAGTTTCAGGTGTTATCGTGTGTGCAGATTTGTGACTTCATATGAAACAATCGAAACGTATCATGTGTATTGTACATTTATCAGCAAATGTTCACATAACAATGCCATTTTTTTTTATGTGATCGAGTCCCTCAGATAATAGCCATGCCCAATTTGTTTCGACAGACCAGAAACTGTTGTCAACCTTGAGCCAAGACTAACTCTTTATGTAAATGATTTTTTTTTGTTCTTCAAAGAAGCGGCCATTTGATGTTCCTCAATCTCAGCGGTGACCTTTAATCAACAGTTCCTCAGATTGTAGTCTTAACTCAGGCTGTTTGCGTAGATGCTTGCTGTCAGCCTTGAGCCAAGACTAGGCCTCAAAAGGAAAATTGATTGAAAGTGATTAAAACGTGTAACCTTTTATCCCCTAGTCCCACCAAAGCCAGAGGGCGCTTTGCCATGCCCCAGCGGACTGGTTCCGGCAGCCTGCGACCGTCCAGCATGCATCGTGTTGTGCAGCCCATATCCAACTCACCACCCATACCAAACAGTCCTCTGAGGTAAAAAAAAAAATACCCAGCATGCTAAACTGCTGCCGCCATCTTGGTCTGGTACCCCGACTTCACAATCACGCACACGGATGATAAAGTAAACTCACTACCTTGGGTACCAGCCTATTTCAAAACACCTCACTCTGAAGCAGTTGGCATTCAAAATTCAAGATGGCAGCAGAATAAGCAAAAAAAGGCTATAACTAATCATTAACAGTTTATCTTTGAGACTTTGAGAAAAACAAAAACTACATTTTGTAAAAAAATTGGACCAAATTAGTAATGGTGAAAATCAAGAAATTCCAGTTATGGACATGATTGATCCCTTCTGCGATGGACAATGGTATGGGTATCTTGTGTCAATATTTATCTCTTGTTGATTTTATTTTGCTGGATATATTTGCTTTGCTGTTGTATCACATTGTCTTATTGCTTTTCCCACTTTTTCTTCACATTTTCCTCCAGTGAATTTTACTTTCGACACGACCATTGCTTTCCCCTCAACAATATTATCACACATGTCACATGAGTAACATATTGCAAAGACATTTTAAAATAAAAAAGACAAATTCCAGGGGATGATCAAATATTTGAATATTTTTTTATATTCAGGACAGCCCTAATGTGGGATAGTATACAAATATTGAATGCTTCGAGTGGTGTAGTAAAACTAGCCTCCCGAGGTGATCCATTCGCCTCGGGAAAATAGAATGCTCCATGGATCACCGAGGGAGGCTAGTTTTACTTCACCACGAGATAAAGCATTCAATATTTGTTTTATAACACTTCACCCACAGATTCTGCTTGGTTATAATATTTTAAATTATTTAAATCTGAACACATTTGAAATAAACTTCAATTTCAATACAAAATTGGTGGAAAATGTATTTCTCTCTTCCAAACTACCCCTTTGCGAAATGTTTGAACCCAACTCTGTGGCGCGCTCTCTTTGGAACAAAACGCGCTGCGCGCAACGCGCACACCAGCATGCATTTTGCACACAAATACCGCGCCGTGGAAATGGTACTTTGGTTGCTAATGGTATAGTACTTTGGTTGCTACGGGTATAGTACTTTTGGCCGTGCACGGAAAGATAGCAAAAATAGAAAGTGTCATGTGACTCGCTCTCGGCCAATCAAGACACAGAATCTGTGGGTGAGGTGTTATAATATGCTCTGTCCATTGTTTGCAATTGCAAACTTGCTGTTATAGACCATTATCATGTTGCGGCCATCGTGAGTTTTTCCCAATCAAATCAACGTAACCAAAGCGAGGCTGGATGGAAAAATAGTCTGGTTCCTTTTTTGCACAAAACCCATTATCATTGAGTACTGTTATTGAATTATATATTGTGACAGGGAACATGACTAAAATGGTGGCAGCATGATAAAGATCTATTACAGTCTTTGCTCTTGACCCTGGAAAGCCATCCTACAATTTGCATGGGAAATGGAAAGGGGAGATGTGTCAAAGCCCTTTGGTAAACTTTGGTGCTAGTTCACGATACCAGTTTATATTTGTTGTTTTGATGTATCACAATTTCTTTCAAATTGGTACACAAATTCATCCTTCTTCCTTCACTTTCCCACTTCCAAACCTTTCCTCCCAGTTGTCATGGTTACCACCTTGATCTCTTTCTCTTTTTATTTGCTCAAGTAGTGTGTGATGGTCGTGATTATTTTGTTGTCTCTTCTATTTCTATTTTGATTTTGCCGCAGTGAAAGTCCCCTTGGTGTTAGCGAGGATCGTTTTCTGTCCTACCCCCAGCCCCTGCATGCCTCAGATCCCAATCTCTCTGATGAGTTCCCTGGCTACGGAACCAGTCCCAGTGACCACCTCCTGGCACGGTAAGCCCCAGGGAAATTCCAGTACAACTTCCAGTATAACTTCCGGTTCAACTTCCGGTTCAACTTCCCGTACAATTTCCGGAATAACTTCCGGTACAACTTTGGGTATGACTTCTGGTAGTATTTTGGTAAAACTTCTGTACAAGTTGTGGTAAAACTTCTTGAAAAACTTCCAGAAAATGTTCCGGTAAATGTTCCAGTAAGCAACCAGAAGTTGTGGCACGACTGCCGGTACAACTTCCGGCACAACTGCCGTTACAACTTTTGGTACAACTTCCGGTATGACTTTTGGTACAACTTCTGTTAAAACTGCGTAGAAAACTTCCAGAAAATGTTCCAGTAAATGTTCAAGTAAACAATCAGAAGTTGTGGCACAACTGCTAATACAACTTCCGGTACAACTTCCGGTACAACTTCCGGTACAACTTCCGGTACAGCTTCCAGTATAACTAATGAAACTACCAGAAAATGTTTCAGTACAACTTCCGGTATAACTTCCAGCATAAAAAAAAGAGTAAAACCTCAGGTGCAACTTCTGGTACAACTTCCGCTACAACTTCTGGTACAACTTCCGGTACAACTTCTAATAAAACTACCAGAAAATCTTTCATTTCAACTTTCGAAATAAATTTCAGCATAAAAAAAATCTCCACATAAGGACTTGTTTACGTCTACTCACGAGAGGGCCATACCATAGCATAGCTAGAGGGGTGTTTTGAAAAAACATGCATTAAAATTGTCGGACAAAAACATTGAAAATTTATAATTTTGACTTGTTTTGACTTCTGGACCGAAAAGTTTTGATTTTTACTGGCTGGGGTAATTATCAGCATGCAGACTCCAACCGGTCTTAAACAGAGTGTTTAAAACCGGCAAGCACACATTTTTCTGATAGGTGTAATGTCATTATCATATAGTGGTCTTTGTTCAAGCTGTTAATATCCATCACCACCATGTACAACTGCAAGTCATCTTGAGCATAGACCGGAACTTGAGTGTCTCCTCTTTCTTCAAAGTTGAAATTGCATTTTGCAGGGTTGATTTGAAACAACGCTTGGCTGTAGTTTGTTGCCGTGTTTTCTAATACGTCTGCATTGTCAATTCTTCAAAATTCCAATTGGTTTCTAGGTTTTCGGGATCTGGGCGGAGCCGGACACCCGATTCGCCGACTCGTACACCAATCAGAGAGGAGAGCGTGGAGTTCACCGATGAATACATGAATATGGCGCCCTCTGGTGCCTCGAAAGGTAACAAAGCAGGTTTGCCAATTTTGCGCAATATATTTGTTGGGCACTTTTCCCCTGCCATATCTAAAAGAACAGATTATTATTTCTTCTTTGAAAATTCACCTTTAGTTCAAAAATTGTAGAGGGTATAGAAATTGGAATGATTAAGTAGCACATTGTCAACAACTTCTTCATATTCATTCACTGATTTTATGTTGCATGATATACATTTGTAGACATCATAGTTAGTGCATGCATGTTGGCATGGCTAGTACACTGTATACATTGTATATACTTCCATATTCATCATAGCATGATTGAACTGACCAATAGACTCATTATAGTTGTTCCTTACTACAAAAAAATTAATTGTGTGTGGCAAATATCAGTCCAAATGTTTCACTTTGTGGAAGCTGTAATCCTTTGGCCCTATAGCGTACACTTTGAAAGCCCCCCCCCCAAAAAAAATTACAGGCCCTTGGACTTTTATCCTCAAGTCAGTTTTAGTGGTCAGTTGTGCCTGTCATTTAGTGGTGTGTGCTGCCCCCCTCCCAAAAATGGTACGACTGTGCGGCAAGAAAGTGTTAGAAATATGCTCAATATGCATGTTCATAAAATAGAAATGTGTCATCTTATGGATGGAGTGTTTGTGTGTCTCGTTTCACTTGCATGCCCGTCTTTTGTTTCCACCTCGTTTGCCCGTTTAAATACACACAGCCGTCCTGACTGTACCTGTCCCCACTCGCCAGCCCTTACACCACCGCACGATGAACACTCAAGGGCGCTCTCCATCCCCAGAACATGTCTACGCCCTCTTGCAGCCGATTCACCTCACCATTTCACCACCATCACCTCAATCACCACCGTCACCACCGTCGGGGGTGCATTGTTCACCACCTTCACCACTGCACTTTCCACGTCAGTTATGTCATTCTGTATGCATTGTTTTAAAACCCGTTCATGTAGTTCAGCCATTTAGAAAACAAGTTGCGTTTGCATGAAATGTACAGTGTAGCAATCTAGTTTGGTCTTAAAGGGAATATACAACATTTGCAAACATCGAAAAATAAAACTACCAAGTTTTTGCGAAATACCTTAATAGGATGTTGGTAAATGACAGTCTAAAGCATCCTGTAAAATTATGGCACCTGGTATACTGTCATTTTCAAGAAAAGTGGTATTTTTGTATCAATTTCCAACGCTGATCGGCCGATCAGCGTTGGAAACAACTGGCTTTTTTTCAAATACTGGCCCCAATTGACCATCGCACTTGTTTGCAATCGATTACAAACCTATGAACGGGTACGAGCCAGCTAGACTGGTTCCCTGACCTTACAATTCCCCAATGTATGTAAACTGCTCTGTTTCTTCTTATATGGAGTCAGGGAACCAGACTACAGGAAAATGATCGTTTTTCTTGGTTTTTATAGCATTTTCGAACCCAAAACCTCCAAAAAGTCAGTGTAACTATATTTGCTTTATATTTCCAACCCCCCAATTCCATCCATTTCTGAAAATTACAGCAAAAGCAAATGATGTATATTCCCTTTAAGTTGATACACGTTTTCGTAAAATAAAAACTGTTTTCAAAACAAGTTGAATGTTATTTGTAAGTTGAAATCACAACTTTGATCTTGGGAAAGTCTGATTACCACCGCGACAAAAAAAAAATGCGTTTCCCTAACCTTTTGAAATCCATCAAAATCCATTACCATATTTTGGGGATTTTGGTAGGCAAGGCACAGGTACCAAGTCCATCAAAATCCACCTATAGAAGTGGTGGTCTTGTGGTGGATTTCAATGGATTTGGTCCTGAAGCATTATGTGAAGCAGGGTCAGTGATGGATTTTGGCGGACTTGGTCCGGTACTCAGTGAAAGACACTAGGGAGGGTTAATTATGTTTTTTTTTAAAGAGGTTGTGGAATGCTCGAAGACATTTCCGTCATTTTTCGGGTATATGTAGCCTAAGGTGTGATGAAATAAAAACGACTATTGTTTCTGTCATAAAATGAGTACAAAAGGTACTTTTGAGAACTTTTTTTCAAGTCCTGTCATGCCTGTTTCGACCCGAACGTGCAATTTGTGTAAAAGTCGTCGTTGCGGGCAGCAAACAAAACACAGTAAATCGTGACGTAATAAACAGGACTCCCGATGCAGCCTGTTTATTACGTCACGATTTACTGTGTTTTGTTTGCTGCCCGCAACAACGACTTTTACACAAATTGCACGTTCAGGTCAAAAAAGGACCTGAAAAATAGCTCTCAAAAGTACCTATTGTACTCATTTCATGACAGAAACAATAGTCGTTTTTATTTCATCACACCTAAGGCTACATATACCCAAAAAATGACGGAAATGTCTTCGAGCATTCCACAACCTCTTTAAGTATAAGATGTTTTTGTACTTTTTCTGCAGTTATAAATTTATAGTGTTCTCAAACTTTTTATCACTACCTCTCTCTAGGGTTTAGAAAACAGGGCTCCTTTCGAGCTTCGGATTTTATCTCTGGCTTGAATACCATGACATTTTGTATGCCCAAATTAAGTTAAGCCTTAGCTTTGAGGTGAAGCCGATGTTTCAAATCTTTGCCCTGCGACTTTTCAGCTCCAGCGCCTCCCGATGAGGACCAGTCCTACATGTCCATGACCCCAATGAGTCGATCAGGGTCACGGGGGTCGTCTGGCTACGCCCCGCCCACGCAGGCCCCGCCCCAACTGACCCAGAGGTCTGCCAGCGTGAGTGGGCGGTTGATGACGGTCCCGCCCAGCCAGGATGAAGGGTACATGATGATGGCACCAAGGAAAGGTAGGGGTGTGGTCAGTGGGTGTGGTCGGTGGGTGTGGTCGGTGGGTGTGGTCAGTAGGTGTGGTAACTTTGCATACTGATTGGATGCCAGGAGTATGAAGGATACATGATGATGGCACCAAGGAAAGGTAGGGGTGTGGTCAGTGGGTGTGGTCGGTGGGTGTGGTCGGTGGGTGTGGTCAGTGGGTGTGGTCAGTAGGTGTGGTAACTTTGCATGCTGAAGCCAGGAGTATGAAGGATGCACAATGATTGCACTGGGAAAGCCGGGTTTGGCTATAAGGGCCTGGCGGTGGGTGTGGCTAGTGGGTGTGGTCAGTGGGTGTGGTTAGTTGATGTGGAAAATAGAAATAAGTCGAGTGTCAGCGTGCAGTTGATGGTCCCCAGCCAGGAGGAAGGATCCAGGATGGCCCAAGGAAAGGTGGGTTGTTAATGGGGTGCGGTGGGCGTGGTCAGTGGGCGTAGCTAGCTGGTGCGTTCAGCAGAGATTAGACTGGTGCATGCTGATTGAAGTGAAAGACATTGTATGAAGAAGGAAAGATTTGTCAAAATGAGGGTTTGGTCTGTGGGTGTGGTCAGTGGGTGTGGTCAGTGGGTGTGGTCAGGGGTGTGGTTTGTGATGGTGGTTGGTTACTGTGGTCAGAGGGGATTTTCATGTAATGCTTGATGGTCCCAAATAAAGTTAGAATTTTAATCAGGGTTTTGTTGATGTGGTGACGTCAGCATATATGAGTATTTTGCCATCCCTAGATTTAAAAAAAATAACGGAATAAAACTGGGCAGGAACTTCTTGGAAAGTGATAAAATATTGTCCACATTCTTCAAGTATTGAAAAAAATGTGATGGAATTTAAAACTGACTGAAACACAGGTGTAAGTGACAGAAAATTGAAAATTTTCCCTTGTAACGAATCTATTCCTCATCAAAATACGTTGACAGACTAAATACTGCCAGTCTGCCATATCAGCTTTTTGAAACAGCCCCCTCTGTTGGCTCACATCACATACATCTTTGTCCCAGTATACTCTTTACTGGAAACTCCAATAGCGCCCTCTTGTGTTCATAGTTCTCAAGATATGCAATATGTATGTCTTTGTTTGCCGCTGTGACTCGGATTGCAGAAGTGGTTTTACTGACAAGTGGTGTCATTAATCGTGTTGATTTATGGCTTGAAATGTATTGCCTCGTTTAGCTCAAATTGCTGGTTGCAGGGGGACAGTTAAATGTAGGGGTACCGGTACCGTACCGGTGATTTTCTTTTTCCTGTCTCATTACGAGCACCAGAAAAAGAAATAATATGGACGGACTGTAATAGGCGTTTTCTATGTCTGATTGTTAGTATTTTTTTTTTTCTTGAGCCGGTTTTGCTGTTCATCAGACTACATAGTTCTTACATTTTTATTGTATACATTTTTATTTCATTTGTCTTTTAATCTCTTTTGCTTTAAGTTTGTTTACTTCGCAACCAATTCAAGAAAAGCGTCAAAGCATGCAATTGAACAAAGGAAAGACATGATTAATGACAAAATAAATTCAGCTTGTCACTGACTGAAAGTTGAAGAAATTCTATGAAATCAGTGAAATCTAATATTAGTCCAGGCATGAAACTTTTCCTCGGATCCGCTGATTTCCTCGTTTTCCACTTCTCATGAATGCCATTACAAATTGAAAAACACTGTACAAAGTCTTGTTTGATTCGCAATTTCCTCGTTTTTTCCTAAGTTCCCAGTTGCATGCCTGAATGTCATATCGAGAAAAGGTTGGCATATATTGGAGCATGTCACAATACCTTAAAACTGTTACATGTACCTTTGACGAAAACAGAAATATGTTTCAAATGATACCTGTACCTACATGCAGGGGTTGTATTCCAAATGCTGTATGTTCTTAGTCAGCCAGCATCATGTTAGTCTATGTAATAGTGAGCTGATTCGGCGATTAATTATGCCAAAAAGACTGCGTCTTGACCTTGACATTCTGACCATTCAGCGGGTGCTTTCCATTACGTGAAACTCCCATTTGCCAAAACCCCTGAACTGTACCTACCGATTTCACTGTGACTCTTATCAGCTGTTATCAGTAAAGTAATTATAAGATAAACACTTACCCTGGCACCCACTTCCCCAGGGCCAGTGACCATGAGCTGGTGGTGTCAAATAACGGAAACCTTGAAGAGCATGGCTGAAGTCGGACTGTTTCTTATTTGATATCTCGAGATATATTTGATCGATTTTTATGATTCAAAGTTGCTCACATCATAACTTTTGACACTTTTCCAAATACTTTACATTATAAACAAGAACCTAGTAGACTTTGGTAGATATTTTTTGTCAGTAAGCTCACAGGCAGAGGCACCATACACCACCTGTTCACGGCTCGTTAACTCTTGATCAGATTAGAGAGATCGCATTGAAAGCTGCTGAATCTGAAATCGGTAGGTACGACCCGAGTTTGTCATAGGCAAACTCGGGTCTAGCTCAAATGGGAGATTCACGTAATGCTATATCGGGCCTCGTCAGGATATCTGTAAATAAAACCTAGACACGACATCACTTATTTTTTTTTACGTTGTGAATTGAGCAAAAAAGTCTGTGGTCACACGCTCTGTAACGATAAGTTACGCGATACGCCAAGCAATAACAGAGCCGGCCAGTCACGGTCGTGTCTAGGTTTTGAAGATCTATGCCCAGCCGTTGTATTACAAAAACACTGCATCGGAATCGACCAATCAAACAGTTAGTCCAGACTTCGGAATAAAATGACCTCACGATTTAGTACAGTTGACTCCGATTGGCTGGCGTGCAGGCATGGGCGTCGCCAGGATTTTTTCTAGAGGTAGGCAAAAATTTTTTTGCCAAAAAAGGCTTGTATTTCTCAACACATTCTCGATTTATCAGTTTTAGAGGGGGGTGGCAGGGACATCCCCCCCCCCCCAACTCATTAAATTTACACCACTTTGTCTTCGCGCCTCTTTTTCTTTTTCTTTTTTTTCTTCTTTTTCTACCTTTTTTTTGGTGTTTTTTTTGTTTGTTGCTTTTCCAGGGGGGGGGGGCAAGTGCCCCCCTTGCCCCCCCTCGCGACGCCCATGCGTGCAGGGGTGCATTCTTGCCTAGATATCAGACGTTAAACCGGAGATAGGGCTCTGTGGACAATGGGTGCATGCGTACTCGGACACGCATCGTGTGGGCACGGCATGCTGTTTTGGAAACAAGCATGCCGTAGTCTTTCACCTATGCATGCCATTCTCGTATACGGGCTTAGGTTCTTTGATTGAAACTTCACAGCACAGTCGCTGCCCGCTTCCTCGAACAATCAGCCTGATGGATGCTCCGAACCTCCTGTTTCTGATTGGTTCTCACACCCTGCTTTGCTCTCTGGCGTCGGAATTACCCAAGATGACATGTTTTCAGTAATAGACCTGTCCGAGAATTGGATCGAGGTGTTTGGGGGTTTCTCCTTCATACTCGATCTGTCAGGGGCTTTTGTTGTCAGGTGCTGATGAACAGGTGTTGTAATTGATTGGATTTTTTTTTTTCTTCATTTCTTTCATTTTCTGGGATTTGTGGTGTAACTGGGTTAGCCTTTTTTTATCAAGACTTGGAGACTTTATCTTTATTTATGAGAAAGCTCTGTTGATCGAACTTGAGGCTATTTACACAAATAATACTCATCTTTTGAATCCATGCGTCATTTTCAGCTGGTCCTGGAGTGCTTTGGCCTCGTGGTTGAGGGCATCGGATTTGTGGTCTGCGGGTAATTCTGCTGGTTGTGGGTTCGAGTCCAGGCTGGGGTCATGGTGCGTGTGCCCTAGGGTGGGCAAGGCACTTTGACACTCATTGCTTCTCTCCACCCAGTAGTAAATGGGTACCTGTGAGGGCAGAGATGGTTATTGTGGTTGATTAAGCTTCTTTTTTCTTTCTAGCTTCCTTCTTCCTTCTTCCTTTAGCTGTAAATTCCCAGGGAGCTTAGGTTTGAAGTGTGTTTGCCCATTGAAGCAGGGAAAATAATAATGTGAAAGCGCTTTGATACCCCCATTGCAGCGTAAAAGCGCTATATTAATGTCGCTGTTATTATTAAATTTAGAATTGCTGCGATAGGGCGACAGACTTCTCAAGTGTGGTCTCGATTAGGGCAACACGCCTCATTGGGGCGACAATTTTATTATTATTATTATTATTTTTAGTATTATTGTCCCTTCTTTGCAGAAAACAAACCGCCTTATGGTTTCATTTCCACCCAGCGCAATCCACCTTTGTAACAAACAGCTTGTAAGATAATTCATAAGGTCAATGTTAGCAAAGGAAGAGGGGATGGGGGGTAGTATTAAGTACTTAGTATTGAACTTGAGGAGCTGTTAAAAATGATTGTACATGTACATTTTTGTGTAGGCCTACATGCCATCGAAAATAAGCAAGTGATTAATGCTGAACTATTTCGCAGAAGTCACTTGCAGCTGGAGAAAAGGTAACCGTACTTCAGTTGGCTGACATTTTTGAAGAACTGCATTCTTTCTGTGACTGGAAATAAACTGTCCTGGTTTTCAACATTTTGTTTTAAAGAAATGCTATGGTTTGCTTAATTCTTTGAATTCCTGTAATATCTGAATTATGTGGTTGAAATCTGCGGGTGCGGGAATGTATGCGACCCTCATAAACTGTGTTTTCCCAAAAATGTAGGGCATTTTCTACGACCTTTGTGGTTTATGCTATCTTCCGCTTCAGTCTGTGCTTGGGGCTTTATTTTGGTTGTTCCTTCCAGCAGTTTTATGTCCATCTTGGGAGTTTGAGTCTTCGGAGAATGTCAACAATGATTTTGGGGTGATTCACAGCGTCAGTGTGGTGATGGGGAGTGCTCATGACAGTTTTGACACTTGTGTCCATCGCTCAATTGATAGACTGGAACAGAAACTTTTGCTGGGATGTATTTATTAATGTTTTTTTTTTTTTTTTTTGGTTTTTTTGGCTGTTACTTTTTTATTTTTAATGTGTGTAATAGCGCGTCAT